CGCGGAAGGGGAGCGGCTCTTACCCGCAGCGAGCGCCAGAGCGCAACCATCGCTCCTCCGGAGACACCGCAGAGCCAAGGCCCCGGCTGGGCAGCTGGGAAGAGCCCACTGGAAAGCGGGAGGGAGAGGCGGAGCGGGGGCCCGGGCTGAACGTGACCCTGCAGCGGCTCTGACGGCGTTTGCGTTCAAGTACATGAGCCCGTAACGGGCTCCAGCACAGCGGCACAGGTCGGCGTCCTGCGGCCACAGGTCTCGGCTCTTAGCGCAGGCAGTGATTGCTCCTTTCCCTTTCCTCCCGCGAGAGGAGGCAAGGACTGTCACGCTGCGCCCAGCACGGCGGAAGGGCTCAGCAGCTGGTGAGCAGCGCGTTTGTGTGTCTCTCCGTGCCGCGCCCGAGGCTGCGGCTACAGCTCTTGCTAAGCAACCCCAGCTCCTGCAATAACCGCTCCTTGTTTACAGCCTTAACGTGACAGCCTCTGCCCGTAGAAACTGTAAACTTCCACTCGTGTGAAAGTATCAGCTCCTGCTTTTTATGCAGCAAAACTTCCTAATTCACATGTCTGGCGACTAAGAGCTACCCTTAGTACAGCTCTGGCACCTATTCAAGAGAAATTATTTCATTTTCCTTTCAGAACGGCAGAAAATCGTGCATTTTCCCATTGCCTTTATTCGCAGCTTTATATGAAAGTGACTGGTAAATGCCCCAGGGAAGGTAGGGTTTCCTCAGCGAAAGCAATCATTGCCTGCTTTACTTATCCCACAGTTTTACGCTTAGAAGATAACAGTTTATTCTTTTACCTGCAGGGTTTTGAAGTAACATGAACCTGTTCACAAAGCTTTTTACTGTGATACTTCTGACCCACACAAAGGCAAAGACCCTTTACCCCCTATCGGTTTGAGCAACAGGACTAAAGTTAGGTAGATGCACAAGAACTAGTGGCCAAGCCTTACTTCAGCTATGTTCACACTGATGTCTTTACTTGAGAAATTAATTTCAGCTTGACTTAAAGCAGTATTTAAGTAGCATTCAAGGGAGAAAAGCAGCCGATACCTACCACAACTAACACACAGTTAAAGATAAATCAGAAAATCTACTAAAACCGACTAGAACCATAGTGTAGATGACCTTTACCAGGTCACATACGAGACTGGCATGCACAAGACAAGCATACATACAAGATCACTTCAGCCAGTTTCTGCCTTGTTGGACTGCAGATGCCTTATATTCCTTGTAATACACTATGGACATTTGATCCCATTTGTTAACCTTGGAACTCTTACAAAATACCAGCAATTCCTCAGCTGAGATGCAGAAGAGGAACCTGCAAAGCCTGAGGGAACTGCAGGGCAACACCGAGGTAACAGCCTGAGCTGCACCTGTGTGGAACCTGGAACAGCCCTTCAGGCTTAGAACAAGGTGAGAGCAGGGAAGGCTTAACACTGGGGTCTCCGGTGTTGGCCTGTAAAACACCTTCACAGTGTTGTCACAAGTCTAACAGTTACAAAAACTGGGTGTAATTTGTTCTCTTCATAACAATGTAGTCTATTTTTTTCCTCATTTACATTGAATGCAGTAGCATTCTAGCTTACACTTCCAATGTCTTTAGCACTATATTCACTTTGTGAAACACTATGATTTCACAGAACATACAGATATTGTATTATAGTCAATATCAGTTATTTAAGCATAATGCACCACAGGGTGACCGAATGCACCAGGCCTTGCACTCTTTAGCATTTCAGACCGCGATTTGCGGAGACTATAAAGCGCAATTCTCTGTTCCTGTCTCATTTCCCTTAGGTTCTGTAATCAAAATGCAGCAGCAATCAGTTAATGCAAAGATCCAGAGCCTTACCTGCTCCATTTCCACCGGCATTTCAGGCATTGCCCCAAACTACAGAAGGAATTATCAGCCTAGGAAGTTACTGCAGTTCTACTGCGCACTCGTCCCTTTGTCTGCTTTGCCTGCAGAGAGCACATGGACTGAAAAGCAGCAGTGGCTTAATTGACCTTTGAAACTGAAATGCTAATCCAAGCCCTACATCACGTGCGGCTCTGAATGCTGCTAAGCTTTTGGTTGATTCCCAGTGGTACCATTCAAGCAGCTCCGTAGGGACTTAAGTCTGTACTTCAGAACCGCCAGCATGAGTGAGTGCAGCCATTGTGTGCATCAGATTTATTCAAAGCACCAGCACGGACTCTTATGCAGTTTCCCTTTTACTGGAAATGGGAGGAGGGCTCGCATTAGGTCAGCTGGGTTGAGGAGTCTCACAACTCTCCCTTTCATGTTTAAACTCAGTGCAACGCAGACCTTGCTGCAAATTAGTGAGATAGAAATTATTTCTTGCTAAATTAGTGTTTTTTAAATTAAGATTAAAAAATATGTTCCACAGTGTTGGTAGTTGATTCTTGTAGTGAATATCTCAGTGTACCTTAGGTGAGCTACCAGTATCAAAGTTTCAGTTTTTAACAGGTATTTCATATCTGCATGATACTGGTAAACAACTTAAAGTTGACATAAAGCACTCAATTTCCCCTTCCACTCTTTACTTCTCTCCCCAGTCTGCTCTACATTATTTATCTATCTTTTAAAGCTAAACCAGAACCTGACAGTGCTGTAAGGCTAGCATAATTAATTGCTGGAGTGACCTACTCTTGTCAATATAAGCATGCTCTCAGCAGCTTAAGAAGGAATTAAAATGGAACTGCCAATTAAGCTAGAAGGTTTTAATGAAGGCTGTATGAAAACATGTAGTCATCATAATAGCACAGTCTTGTGATATCTGCAGTATTTTGCTTCACTTCATATACTTCCACCCTCTGACAAAGTCTTGCTAACTTGATGCAGGACATTTCAAATGCAAATCAAGGTTCAGTGAAAAAATAAGGTACCTTACCTCAGCATCCCCATTGCCATGTTTTGAGTTTTGTGGAAGCTTCTGTTAACATTCACTTGCCCTAATCTCTCTTGAAATAAAAGGCTCATTTACATTTTTAAAACTACATTGAACTAAGGATGTCTCACATTTTGGCATGAAGGCTTTAAAGACTTCAACATTCTGATTTATGAACAGGGATTTTGCCTCAAAACCCCCCATGTGAGCAGAACAGCACAGGAAGTGTGCAACTCCAGCAGCCATGCATTAAATAATGCCATCTTGTGAGAACACTGTAGGAGCTGTGGAGTGTCACTTACTCCATTTTCAGTTGTTCACCGATGTGTCCCTTCCCACCCCCTTACTCACCAGGCAACTTGCTTTAACCAACTACTATTTCACATCCACCAACCAGCATGTGACATCAGGGTTTCTAATATGACTGTGTTCTCATCTAGTGAGCCAGACTAATGCACATTTACTCTACAAATTTCTTTTACTTCATCTTTCAGACAGGAAAACTTTCATATTTTTCTCCACAAGGAGAACTCCAGTATTAAATTCTTTCAGCAACTTGTTAAAATATGCCTTTCAACACTTCAGGCAAACTGCTAAGTTGAACACTATTTCTCAATTCAAACACCTTAAATTAATCCTCATCCTTGCTCCTCAGAAGCTCAAGTAATCCAGCAAACACAGAAAGATGACATTAACAGACAAAACCTAGCAATTTCTTTCCCTGGACTTAATACACATTTTTGGTACCTTATTTCCCACGTATTATCAATCCTTTGTAAGCCCATAATGTCAGTATAAATGGCAGTATCTCCCACACATCAAGCTCTGTGTACTGCCTCTCTGCAGCACCCATGTGCAGGGTATTAGTAGGTACAATAGCAAGAACACAGAGTTCCATATTTCACTTGAGTGCCAGTACTTGTGTATTAAGAGGAACTCACAGGAAACAAGTGGATAAGGGAATTGCAGGTTGTATGTATTGTACAGTTCCACTGAATTTCTGTAGGACTGCAGAATATGCAGTCTTTGTGCCAAGACTGACACTAGGCTTCATTACAAAGATTTAAGACTAGAACAAAGAACATTAAGTCAATTACACTCTAATTTGAGTTTGGGTTTTATCCTTGATTTCTGAAGGTAACTTTAAAAAAAAAAAATCTTTAAAATTTTTATTGTGCTGAAACATTCTTCATTTTAGATACAAACAGATTTTTCCCACATTGTGAAAAATCAGATCTGTACAACAAATGTGTGTACACAGCAAGGATCCTCCCACCCCATTAAGACAAGTTCTGATGTTGTTCCCCTTCAGGTAACATTGATCAATTACAACAGCTACAAAGTTACGACAATATGAGAGCCCAGTGAGCTCAGCATTCGTAAAAGAGGCATTTCTCTGAAGACACTAATGTTAGCATCAGTATGCAAACATTTACCTAAATGGAGTCAAATTGAGTTTGAGCAGCAAATCCTCTTCTGAAGATCAACAGCTGCAGTATCCAGCCCCAAGATTGAAATTAGCATGTCCTGAACATAGATCCCTTTAAGAATATTAAAACTGTACAGTCCAGTTTTCTACACTGGTTCTGTATTATGTGGGCCGCAGAGGAGAAAGGGTCTCCTGGCAGCATTGCTGTCACTGGTATTGAAACAACCATAAATAGCAAAATTAAACATTAAAAAAACATGAGATAGAATAAAAAAAATCCCATCTTTCATGAAACTAAATTTAATATATCATCCTTACTCTTCAGTGCTTATTCACCTTTTCTTAGGTTTCTCTGTCAAAACCAAGCTAAGTAGCTCCAGCATACAAAAACATGAATTGGTGAGTTAAAGAGTACAATGATGTTACCAGGCACCTGGAACATACAGTCACCTGTATGCTCATGGCTTCTCAGTAAGACCATAGCCAAGCATAGTTTTTCTAAAAATATATAGTTTTAGACCATTTCTCTAGTATTCCCTCTAAGTTGTATTATATACAGCATCCAAGTTCAAGGTGAACAGTAGTCTGTTGAAGTCTTCTGTAGTATATGAGGGAGTTTATTGGCAACTTAAGGTTTTTTTCCTTAGTACCAAGAGACTAAATTTTATTTTTATTACCTGCAATAGAAGAACATTACTAAGTTTGTGGTGGGAGCAATAGTCAAAACCCATAGAGTAATTATTTGTCTGCTGGGGGGAAGGCAGCACTACACTGTATACACCAGGCAAGCCAGAACTTCAGACCCTGGAATACACTGTAAAATGAAAGTCTGGTGGAGATCTCTGCCCTCCCACACTCTCTCCTCCACTGCTTCCCTTTGTGCCCTTGCCATCTTTCTCTCCACACCACATTCATCTGCCAGCCTTTTGCACCTACAGCAGTAGGCACAAATCCTGCTGGGTAGCAGCTAAAGAGCCAGACCTCAGACCTGCAGCCAAACCACTGTTACTCCTAGCGCTTGTGCAGGGGACACTGCCTGACACCCAGCTAGCAGCAACATTAAGCTGTATGACAGAAGGAAAACTGTAGGTGCTACACAGCAGCAAAGCAAGGTTCACATCCTGCAAGATCATGCAAACCAGCAGTTTCTCTGTAATCCACTCCTTCCTCCTACCCTCCTACACACCTCTCCTGTTGTCTGACCCCACAGGACACTTGCTCATATCAGGTTGTGAGAAACTGGGCTGGAAAGCACAATAGCAAACCTGGGGCACTGGGAGTGCCCTGTAGAGGCAGCCCTCCACCATCTGCTGTGAAACATGAGATGCCATTCTCCTTCCTTCCCCAAAGGCAGCAGATTATGCAAGACTTGTACTTTCTTCAGTTAAACTTAAGAGGTACAAGGACATAGTTACATCAGTATCTAAGCTTACCTTCTCTAAAAGGAGTTTTTGGAGGAATATTTTCTTTGCTGTCATGCTGGAAAGCTTTAGAAGGATCGAAACGGCGAACACCCCGAATTGCATGCAGTTGCTCCTGAAGATCTCTGTTGCTTTGCTTTTCTTTGGCTAGTAATGCACGCAGTTTTGAGACATCCTAAAGAAAATATAATAACTTGGAAGTTAGATTAAGAACTAAGAAAAGCCTGCTTTCTCATTTACTGAAATAGCCCTTCTGACTAATGCTAAACACAAACATACATACACAATCATTAGTGACATTCAAAAACAAACCAAAGACAAATATACAGGTGTTAGAGAAACCAGCACCACTGTGTAACTGCTGTGTAAGATCACTAAGCACTTATGGTAGCCTGAAACTTTCAGGCAATGCTTTCAGCAGATGGTTTACTAAGCCTAGAACCTCCAAAATGGTTAAGAAAAACCAACCAACCAAGCTAAAAGTCGGGGTAGTTATTTGTACTGGTGATCCTTCTGTATGTCATAAATTCAGTCAGAAATAAAACAGATTCTCTTGGTGTTCTTGGAGGCTGGTGGTTTGTTCTAATCTAGCTCTTGTAAGGAACGTAACAGTCACAGAAAACAAGTAGTTTGCAGGATGAGTTTATAAATATTTAGAGCAACAAACAAATCAAGCAAATTAATAACTTTCAGATTTCTAACTTGTTGTTTCACAAACCTGCTTTAGGTGGGCATTCTCTTCCTTCAACTTCATAACATGCTTGATTTTTTGCTTCTGGTTCTGGTGGCCAAGTAGTTTAGCATATGCATCACTTAGCTTATTCAGTTCTTCTTGGGCAGCACCATGCTCATTTAAGAGTGCATTCTTCTCTGCTTCAAATGCATCTAGTTGTTGCTGAAATACACACTGAACCTTCAGTAATCTTTAAAATAAACATAGCTTTTCACTGAACCAAAATCTACAAAGATTTTCTAGATGGGAAGGGGAATAGCTAGCTCAAGGGACAGTAGGAAACTGTTGTGGGATAAATGCCTTAGAACAGGAAATAGCATGTCTATTTCTCAAGACTAAAACTTGAGCCAACTGCACAAGTTTTAAGTTAAGAGTTATTAATAATCATCTACTTGATTACACACCTGAAAAGGCTTTGTTTTGTTATACAAGTCCTCATATAGATTACGCCAGGTCTTTATCTCTTCTTTTAAGCTAGAGGTCACATCTTCCTTTACAGTTTTCCTAAAAAGCAAGAAGTGGAGTTTCATTATGTTAACAGTTAACTCTCTTCACACTGCAGCTTTGATGTGCTCCAAAATGCACTTCTAGTTTGAGAAAAGTCACCTTGATCTTTCCACTTCAAGTTTTCTTTTTAGATCTTCGGTTTGCGCATCCAGTTTTTCCTGAAGTTTAGTTATTTGTGCAAGGCAAGACTCTTTTGTTCTCTCTGTTTCCGCTTCTTTTAGTGCAAGCTTTGTCTGGATGTCTAAAAGCATCCTGAGGAAAATATTATCCATCCTTAACAAATCCTTTAGTTATTTATTTGCATTACTCTAAATCCAAAACCACAAGTACCCAAGACTCAAAAGCTGTTAGTAGAACTGAAAGGTTTACACAAACAGTGCTACAAAAGAACAGTATAGAAACAGATAGAACATACCAAACAGACTGGTTTTCTAATGCATATAAGCTTAATGAATTTTGTCTGTCAGTATTTTCAATCCTCCAAACTGGGAGAAGGAAGAAACTTCAGCTTACACCAAATACCAATTTTATCTACTGGAGCACTGTGTAAAGTTCTAGTTAGGAATGGAAGCCCTAATTGGCTTTTTTTAGCCTAAAGAAAAGTCTGTCTAGTACCTTGCACATTCTTCTTTTGCTTTGTTTTTAGTGATTTCTGCTTCTTGAAGCATCTGTAGATTATCTTGGTCTACTTTTTTTAGGTTGGCAACTTCTTCCCGCAGAGAAGTGTTCTCCAGTTTAAGACCACATATTTCTCCAGCTATCGTCTTCTTGTAACTAGTATAACAAAAACCTCGTTACTTTAGGCAAAATACAAATTGACATCTTCAGGCCTTACAAAAGCTCATGCTAACAAGTGTAAGAGACTTTATTATCTGGAGAGATGGCTGTGTTCTGGCATTGATAAACCCAAACCTAAAAAAAGTAAATATTCAATACATTTCCATAAAGCCATAAGCAATAACACTACAACGAATTCCGCGATATGGCTATTGTTATATTTTGGTAGATATTGTAAAACACCAAAGACCTGCTACATCCAAAGCTTATTTTAAGCACCAAAAGACCTACTATCTGCAGCTCGCATTGGCAAATATCCCACTGGATCCTTCATGGGTGCCTTGCATACTTAGCAATATCTTTTAGTAATATCTTATCAATTTTTAAATGCTTCCACAACCTGAATATTGTGAGAGGAAGGATCTGCAAGAATTGTAGGAAAATAATAATGATTCAATGCAAGTTTCAAGCCAACACAGGAAGTCTTTCTGCAAGATATTTTAGTGCAAAGAGAAGACCATCACTAGCTACACCTGTCACTGAGGTTCAAGAGCACTAGAGTATTATAATTGGTTACACTTTGGAAGAAGAAACATCCAGTTTCCTGTACTAGACAGCAACTATGTTTATTATGCTTGACTAGTACTCAAAAGGCATAAATTCCTTAATGCCATCAAATACTCCATCACAAAGTCCTCTGCTCTAATATTGTACCAAAGCTCATATAGTGTTAAGTGCCAAGGCACATGAATAAACAGCCTATTTTACTGTAATCTCAGAGATAATCCCTGTCCTAGAACTTAATGAAACTCAAATACCTTTCAAACTCAGCAACAGTCTCTCCAAGTTTACGCAATGTATTGCTGTGCTCTTCTTGGATTTGCAAAACAGCTTTGCTGTGCATTTCATTGATTTGCTCCAACTCAGCATTCTTCCTGAAATAAAAGTTAATCATTCCATGCTGGAGATAAGTATATCTGAACCAATGCTGTTATCAGTTACAGAAGGCTTGCAGCGGAAGCAGCAAGTTGTGACAAATGAGTAACTTCTCTGCCACAACTTGAAGCACAGTTTTTCATAGCAGATTTAACTAAGCATCTCCCCCACCTTATTTCTCAAGATAGGTATAGCACAGATTGAACACCTAACAGCAATCTTTCAGTATGTGAAAGAAGAAAGAGCTTGCTTGAAAATCTTTCCTAGTCATTGCCCTTTCCAGGGCACAAACATCCAACATGACATGCATGTAGCTTACCCTTCACGGCAACATCATATTACTACAGTACTGGCATTTCAAGCAAGTCTCAGCACGCTCAGTACTAAATTAAGACTGTATAAAACTGATGAAAGTCATTATTGGTAGTTATTTGGTCTAATCGCTATCAATAATCAACAACCAGCAAGAAATAAGTTGTGATCTGTTCAGGTCTCTAAAACCCAAATGAGGCTCAACGGCTTCGTTTATACTATTGATTTAACATTTTTCATTTCAAAGGTTTAGAATTAGGAAGTTTATTTCACAAACCCTTTCAGCTTTACTTCCATCTCTGAAAGTTCAAGAGCTTGAGATTTGATTTCTTGTTCCAACCGCTTCACCAACTTTCCAGCTTTCTTCTCCTGAGCATGCAGTTTATTCAGCTCATTCATGGTATCATTCAGCTCTTCTTCAAGAATACGTCTCTCATTTGTTACCTCATCTTGAAACTCTAGTAACTTCTGATGCATTGATGCAGATAACTCCTGTATGCCAGAGTACCACAGATTTTAAAGCTACCAGTACTTTTCCAGATATTAAAAACTGTTTTGCAGTGTTCAAACTTTGAAGCACAAGAATAAGGTCAATTCTACAGAAAGGACCAAAACACCCACCATAACAGCTACGATTCTTAAAGCTGTTGGACCACACTATTTCTGCTGGCCAGCAGCCAGTTAACATTCTACAGATTGCTGTATTAATAATGGTCTAATCTCGTATGTAGGCAAAATCAGAACCTTTCGTGCCAGTCATTTGGATTAGAGTCTATTTTTAAACTACTTTATAGTCTGTATTTACCTTCTCTTGCTTCAGCTGAGAGACCATCTCCTCATGTTTCTGAAGCAGTTTTTGGTGTTCTTGCTCTTCTAAACAAAATTTTTTCTTCAAGTCTTCTATTTCAGCATTCATACTGAGGAATTTTCCTGTGGTCTCCAACAACTCTTTCTCTGGTTAAAAGAATTGTCTATGTAACACAAATTCCCTTCTGCATCTTCAAAGAACTACAACATCTTTATAGTACTTGCATTCTAGTGTTATAGTTAATTAGGCAAGGAAAAAAAAAATCCAAACAAAACAAACCCTCATCTTTAACCCATCTGGAAACCCTCAAAAATCAGCTAGAAGTACACCACTTAAAAAAATTATTTTAACAGCAGGAA